GTCCGGATGTATGTATGTGTGTGTGTGTGTGTGGATCCCTTTTTTGTTTAGAAGATAACTTTAACAGGTTTTAATGGATTTAGATAAAATTTGGTAGGCTCATTTATCATATTAATATCTCAAATCTGACCAAAGGATTTTGAAAAATATCCCAAAAAAAAAATTTTATCGTCTTTTTTCCAAAATTTTTTTTTTAATCGAAAAAATTTTTAAATAGAAAAATTTAAGGTTATATATAATAAAATCGTTTTCCTTACGTCAAGACGAATCGATCGATATATATAAAGTATACATTTAAGGTAAATTTAAAGAATTAATGAAAGTAAAAAAATCAAAATTTCACATATAGGCTATAAAATTTTGTGATTTTTTAAATTGAAGTTTATATATGAAATAATTGTATTCCTTACGTCAAGACGAATCGATCGATATATATAAAGTATACATTTGAAGTAAATTTAAAGAATTAATGAAAGTTAAAAAATCAAAAATTCACATTTTGGCAATAAAATTTTGCTTTCTCCACGAGGAAGCAAATTTTTTTGCTGATCGTAAAGAGGAAGCAAAATGTTCATGTAATGAACATCTGAATTTACAAATTTTTTTCTTTATAGAAACATGTTATATGAGATCCTGATCAATTGTCCGGATGTATGTATGTGTGTGTGTGTGTGTGTGTGGATCCCTTTTTTGTTTAGAAGATAACTTTAACAGGTTTTAATGGATTTAGATAAAATTTGGTAGGCTCATTTATCATATTAATATCTCAAATCTGACCAAAGGATTTTGAAAACTATCCCAAAAAAAAAAATTTATCGTCTTTTTTCCAAAATTTTTTTTTTAATCGAAAAAATTTTTAAATAGAAAAATTTAAGGTTATATATAATAAAATCGTTTTCCTTACGTCAAGACGAATCGATCGATATATATAAAGTATACATTTAAGGTAAATTTAAAGAATTAATGAAAGTAAAAAAATCAAAATTTCACATTTAGGCTATAAAATTTTGTGATTTTTTAAATTGAAGTTTATATATGAAATAATTGTATTCCTTACGTCAAGACGAATCGATCGATATATATAAAGTATACATTTGAAGTAAATTTAAAGAATTAATGAAAGTTAAAAAATCAAAAATTCACATTTTGGCAATAAAATTTTGCTTTCTCCACGAGGAAGCAAATTTTTTTGCTGATCGTAAAGAGGAAGCAAAATGTTCATGTAATGAACATCTGAATTTACAAATTTTTTTCTTTATAGAAACATGTTATATGAGATCCTGATCAATTGTCCGGATGTATGTATGTGTGTGTGTGTGTGGATCCCTTTTTTGTTTAGAAGATAACTTTAACAGGTTTTAATGTATTTAGATAAAATTTGGTAGGCTCATTTATCATATTAATATCTCAAATCTGACCAAAGGATTTTGAAAAATATCCCAAAAAAAAAATTTTATCGTCTTTTTTCCAAAATTTTTTTTTTAAACGAAAAAATTTTTAAATAGAAAAATTTAAGGTTATATATAATAAAATCGTTTTCCTTACGTCAAGACGAATCGATCGATATATATAAAGTATACATTTAAGGTAAATTTAAAGAATTAATGAAAGTAAAAAAATCAAAATTTCACATTTAGGCTATAAAATTTTGTGATTTTTTAAATTGAAGTTTATATATGAAATAATTGTATTCCTTACGTCAAGACGAATCGATCGATATATATAAAGTATACATTTGAAGTAAATTTAAAGAATTAATGAAAGTTAAAAAATCAAAAATTCACATTTTGGCAATAAAATTTTGCTTTCTCCACGAGGAAGCAAATTTTTTTGCTGATCGTAAAGAGGAAGCAAAATGTTCATGTAATGAACATCTGAATTTACAAATTTTTTTCTTTATAGAAACATGTTATATGAGATCCTGATCAATTGTCCGGATGTATGTATGTGTGTGTGTGTGTGGATCCCTTTTTTGTTTAGAAGATAACTTTAACAGGTTTTAATGTATTTAGATAAAATTTGGTAGGCTCATTTATCATATTAATATCTCAAATCTGACCAAAGGATTTTGAAAAATATCCCAAAAAAAAAATTTTATCGTCTTTTTTCCAAAATTTTTTTTTTAAACGAAAAAATTTTTAAATAGAAAAATTTAAGGTTATATATAATAAAATCGTTTTCCTTACGTCAAGACGAATCGATCGATATATATAAAGTATACATTTAAGGTAAATTTAAAGAATTAATGAAAGTAAAAAAATCAAAATTTCACATTTAGGCTATAAAATTTTGTGATTTTTTAAATTGAAGTTTATATATGAAATAATTGTATTCCTTACGTCAAGACGAATCGATCGATATATATAAAGTATACATTTGAAGTAAATTTAAAGAATTAATGAAAGTTAAAAAATCAAAAATTCACATTTTGGCAATAAAATTTTGCTTTCTCCACGAGGAAGCAAATTTCTTTGCTGATCGTAAAGAGGAAGCAAAATGTTCATGTAATGAACATCTGAATTTACAAATTTTTTTCTTTATAGAAACATGTTATATGAGATCCTGATCAATTGTCCGGATGTATGTATGTGTGTGTGTATGTATGTATGTGTGTGTGTGTGGATCCCTTTTTTGTTTAGAAGATAACTTTAACAGGTTTCAATGGATTTAGATAAAATTTGGTAGGCTCATTTATCATATTATTATCTTAAATCTCACCAAAGGATTTTGAAAAATACCCCAAAAAAAAATTTTTATCGTCTTTTTTCCAAAAAATTTTTTTTATTCGAAAAAATTTTTAAATAGAAAAATTTAAGGTTATATATAATAAAATCGTTTTCCTTACGTCAAGACGAATCGATCGATATATATAAAGTATACATTTGAGGTAAATTTAAAGAATTAATGAAAGTTAAAATATCAAAAATTTACATTTTGGCAATAAAATTTTGGGATTTTTTAAATTTAGGTTTATATATGAAATAATTGTATTCCTTACGTCAAGACGAATCGATCGATATATATAAAGTATATATTTGAGGTAAATTTAAAGAATTAATCTATGTTAAAAAATCAAAAATTCACATTTTGGCAATAAAATTTTGCTTTGTCCACGAGGAAGCAAATTTTTTTGCTCATCGTAAAGAGGAAGCAAAATGTTCATGTAATGAACATCTGAATTTACAACTTGTTTTCTTGACAGCACCAGAAAAATGAACTCTAATCGTCCTCGCTATATATTTTTTATAATCTACAAGTAAAAATACGTAAACATGTATAAATTCGAATAATTTTAAATAACCTTTTTTTCGTTTTTAGTGGAAAAATACATTTTTTCTCTAAAATTATAATTTTTCTTTAAAAATTTGATAAAAATCGATCATCAACTACAATTGTGCTTACATTTTTCCCCTGTAATTTTCACGTAAAAATACATTTATACAGCAAATATGAACAGTCTATGTTGAATATTGTGTTCGCAATATTTTTCCTGTAATTTTCACGTAAAAATACGTAATTGTACAAAATTTGGGCTATTTATGTCAAAAAATGTTACTACTAGGGGGGGGATAAGTCTTTTTTAGGCATTTTTTGTAAAAGTGAGGCATTTTACGTGTAATGTCCTAAGTTGAAAAATTGATTTCTCGAAAAAAGTGAAACTTGGGAAAATTTTTGTCCTATCTGATAGTAAAATATCCCCAAAAAAATTTTTGACTTTTTTGAAATTTTTGGGGAGATAAAGCGGGGTCAATTTTATCAGTTTTTCCTGACACCGCTTACTATTTGAATTTTTGTTGTCTTTAAATGCGATAAAAAAAATTTTGGCACGTATGTTTTTTAAAGGTTTTTTCATGCTCTTTCCAATGGTGAATTTTGTTTTTTTAATTTTTGAAATTTGACCTTGATTTTCTATAATTAAAATATAATAATAATATAATTCTATAATTCACTAAAATCGGTGCGTTTTTTAAAATAAATAATTGCAAACGAAAGCTGAAGTTTTTTCCGATCTATATATAAATTTTCAGAATGCCGATTTTTCAGCTTTTGTTTGCAATTATTTATTTTAAAAAAAGGACCGATTTTAGTGAAAATAGCAAATTTATGTTTAATTATAGAAAATCAAGGTCAAAATTAACCATTGGAAGAAACATGAAAAAACTTTCAAATAACATACGTGCCAAAATTTTTTTTATTGCATTGATAGACAACAAAAATTCAAATAGTAAGCAGTGTCAGGGAAAACTCATAAAATGGACCCCGCTCTTTCTCCTCCAAAATTTCAAAAAAGTTAAAAATTTTTTTGGGGATATTTTACTATCAGGTAGGACAACAATTTTCCCAAGCATTGTATACTAAATATGAACCGTTTGGGTTTAATATTGTGTGCGCTAAGGAGATGAAACCATTTTTTTCGAAATTTTTAATTTTTCCTTGACATGACAACGCTATGTAAATTAATCCGAATCAAGTTTACTATATTTTTCCTGTAATTTTCACGTAAAAATACGTAATTGTACCGATCTCTTTATGTCAAAAGATGTGGCCGCTAGTCATAGTACATAGTCATTTTTAGGTATTTTTCGTAAAAATTCATAGTTTTTCCTTGACAACGCTATGATAATCAATTCCAATCAGGTTCGCTATATTTTTAAAGTAATCTGCACGCGAAAATACAAATGTGTATCAAATTTCAGCCCTCCAGATAAATTCGTGTGGCCGCTACACGATTTCAAAAAACCGATATTAATAGGGTTCCGAACCGAGTAGGGAACCCTAAAAAGAATTTATTATCGTCGGTGTACGGAACCCTCGAATTATTGCGAGTGCAGCTCGCACTTGTCTGATTTAAAAATTTTTTTTAAATAAATAATTTATAATGCAATATTACTTGAGTTTTATTAAATATAATAAATTTATGTTTGAACTACTAAAATTTGAAAAAGTAAAGAGTTGAGAAATTTTTCAGGGTGGAGAATAATGTGTAAAATTTATTTTAGGATCCACTAGCTAGTTATGACGTAAACAATCATGACGAAGATCCAATGCCCAGATACGATCTTGCCGATAGCAATCGTCATGGAACGAGATGCGCAGGTGAAGTTGCTGCTACAGCAAACAATTCTTTCTGCGCTGTTGGGGTAGCTTTTTCTGCACAAGTGGGAGGTAAGGGATTTGAAGAAAGTATTTTGTAATGTAATTTTCAGTTAAAGAAACAATTACTATAGCATTCACTGATTACGAATTTATTCCACTTTATTTTTTCTTCTTTCCCTATTTTAAATGAACAAAATCTCGCGAGGAAATTACGTTGAGACAAACGACAATAAGACAGAATTACCGTTAGTAGGATTAATAAGCAAATAAAAATAAACTCGAATTGACAATAAACTTAAATCATTTAAAACTAATCCTATTACTCTTACACAAATGACAATTTTAATGATTTTTTTCAATGAATGATTTGGATTCATATTGTGATAAGCATCAAGTTCAAAGATACCAAAAAATGCGTGTAACTGTATACTCAAGTAAAAATATTCACGTGTAAGTACATGTAGAAATTCATGTAATGTCATTGTAACCTTCACACGTGGAATTCTACGCAAAAAATTTTGAAACTTTTTATAATTTCTTAATATACAGTATTATATGTATGAGAAAAAGGGGGTCTCCAAATTCAAAGCTGGCGATTATTTTTACTTATATGTGAAACTTCACATTTTCTTTTTTATCAAGCTCCACGTGTATTATTATTAAGTGGAATTATATCAAAATTCCACGTGAACATTTTCACCTTCATCGACAGCAAAAATAATTCTCTCTTCGTCGATCGTTTCGTTTTAATGATGATGTTACGTACGTTGTTCTCAACAGTTATTATTCAAGTCTAATTAACAAAGATTCAGAACTGGCACCATTAACATTTTTTCGAGCTCAAATTAATTGAATGTGTAAGTTTTCAATTTTTTTTATCCCCGAGAGAAAATTCCGGAAAATTTGTATTTGATACCAAAAAAAAAGTCAACAATTATTTTCTGGTGTTTAGGTCAATTTTGGCTTATTTCTACAGGGTAATTAATCTAAATTAACAAATATGGAAAACCAGGAATCCTTAAAATCTGCAACACATTATTGTACTTATTTTTTCTTTATTTGTTTATATTATGTTTTATTTTTTTAGTTTATAGTCAAAAATAAATTCTACATTCAAAACAAGGCACAGAGCTTGTGTATACTCATATTAAAGATGTTAATATAAAAAATTACAACTTTAAGATAATAGATAAATATTGTTTATTAGTTACCATTTTATAATTTAATACTATAATTAACCGAAAACAATCACATAAACACATTTAGAGGCAGTTTTTACGCTTGGGTATGTCATACCGAAACACACACCCGGTGTAACACTTTCGCACCACACTCTCGCCGGGTTAATAAGTTTTTCACCAAAAATATAAAATTTTTAAATATAAATATTTTTTAATTATTGTTAATGTATTTGTATTCTTCAGAATTTCACGAATATGAGCATATGTTTTTCTATTTAAAAAATGTTCATATTTAAAAGTTTTACTGCTTGGATTACACAGGTCTACAAGGTATTTTTTTGAGATATCAGACTGGTTTCTAATGTATTTTTGTGTCCTGTATACGGTCCCGAGTTCCAAAATTGCATATTACTTTAGGATTTTGAGAAAAGTGGGGGTAAAGTCTCCAAAAACCGTGTTTTAGAGGGTTTTCAGTATTTTATTCTCCTTAGCCTGACGTGATAGAGACTTCTATATAGGCTTAAATTAAAGTTCTTATGTACGTAGTTGCTTGGGCTAGGTCCTTCGGACCCAGACAACTTTTTTTTATGAACTTCAATAAAGAAAATATTATTATAAAATTTTTATCCATTAAGAGATGGTGAACATATAATATATCTTTTTAACAATATGTAAGCATTTTTTATGCACAACTTGGTGTAATACATTCTATTGTAGTCCTGGTATTCGTGGTATTTGTTACATGAAGGTGATTGTCGCATGTTTATTTTTGCTTCCCTCAAAAAAAAATAAAAACGGTTCGGAGAAAAGTTTCTGGTAAAAATTTCTGCATTTTTCACATTTATTATGAAGTCAGATTTTAAAAAATTCAAAATTGCGGATCAAATATAGCGGTCGAATTTTTAAAAATTTAACATATTCACTTGAAAATCGTTAATCAAATATGTTTAACTTTTAAAAATTTGTCCGACATATTGGATCCACTATTATGAATTTTCCAAATCTGACGTCTGATTTGTAATCATCGACCCCAAAAACCTAAGAATATCCGGTAATACTTAAATTAAATTAATTACTTTTTTTGTACTTAAAACTCAATTTCTCCCTGTCGAAGAAGGTATAACAACGCGACTTTTTGTGAGCTATTTATGTTCTCTAGAGTATTAAAAGATTAAATATTTTTTGCATTTATATTTGCAAATAAATTACAATTATATTTTAGAATTCAAATATTGAATATAATGCTAATAAATCAATCGATTCATTTTCATGCCAAGAATACAAAGGCCGTAGCCGGATAAGCAGGGTCCTGCGGCCCCCGCTCAAATTTCGTTGATATTTACAGGATCAATTAGTCTCAGTATGAAACTTTTTTTCGCCAAGTTTCAACTTCTAAAAATAATTTTGAAAAAAGTTATAGCATTTTTAAAAAAAAATTAAAAATTGGATTTTCTCTAAAGCGTTTATAGTTTTTTAATCGGGTAAAAAATATGTTATAGGGGAAGCAGAAATGCATCTAACAAAAATTTGGCGACCATTTTTGTGTAGTGGAAGGGGTAAAAAAAATTTTCTTTTACTTTTTATATTTTTTAAAAATATTAATTGACTTGGCACAATCACCATATTTTTTTCCTACATTCTTTAACATCCAAGAAGCAACATATTTTTTTGGCAGCTCGATCTGAGGGGTACTTGCCCGTTAAAATTTAAAAAAACTTATTTTTGGCCCCTAAAATGTATGGTATCTCTTGAAAATGGGAGGCCAACATCACCGGGCAAAGAAAATGTTAAAAAGGAAGCAAAAATGCATCTAACAAAAATTTGGCGACCATTTTTGTGCAGTGGAAGGTGTAAGAATATATTTTACTTCTTACTTTCTTTTAAAATTTTTAATTGACTTGGCACAATCGCCCTATTTTTTCTTCCCTTCTTTTTTACATGCAAATGTGTGCCTTCTTTTGGCAGCTTTATGAGTGAAATTGAACACAGTAAAAAGAGAATCTTATTTGAAGGGCGGAATTAAGTTTTATTTTAAGACTCAACATTTTTAAGACAAGCATTGTTGATTTTAAAAAGGGAGTATGTAAGCTGATTTTCAGAACTTTTTATGTGCTATATTGAAGGCAATTTTTTGGTAAAAGCAGCAGCCCCAAGCTGAATTTAAGACTTAGCTTTTATAAATTAAGGCTCAAAGGGAGTTGAATTTCAAACACTCTATAAATTCAGATTTATGAGTACCTTAAATTCATACAAGGCTCACTTTAAATTAAGACTATGTTGATTTCCAAGAATCATTTAATTTAAGATTAACCTTAATATAAGATTTACTTTTTACTGTGAAACATTAAGTAAAATAACAGGCAATTATTACAAGTCAAGTGTATTTTTAGTGCACGGCACTTTTTTCATTAATATTATAATTATATAAAACTATATTAACATAAGTTTAGTATATCTAACTTATCATAAATGCAATAACATTTATTATTCGTGTACTTTTCGTTACTATTACTAGTTCTGCAACACTCTTAGTGCACAATCATATGCACAGTATTCCGCCAATCTATCCGATTCAATTATAACAGTTTTAGCAGTGGAGGATTTATATTTATGTTATGTTGTTATGTTATGTTGTCCCCCCATTTTCATGAGATACCATGCATTTTAGGGGCCAAAAATCTGTTTTATTAAATTTTAACGGGCAAGTGCCCCTCAGATCGAGCTGCCACAAAAATATGTTGCTTCTTGGATGTTAAAGAATGTAGGAAAAAAATATGGTGATTGTGCGAAGTCAATTAATATTTTTAAAAAATATAAAAAGTAAAAAAAATTTTTTTTACCCCTTCCACTACACAAAAATGGTCGCCAAATTTTTGTTAGATGCATTTTTGCTTCCTTTTTAACATTTTCTTTGCCCGGTGATGTTGGCCTCCCATTTTCAAGAGATACCATACATTTTAGGGGCCAAAAATAAGTTTTTTTAAATTTTAACGGGCAAGTACCCCTCAGATCGAGTTGCCAAAAAAATATGTTGCTTCTTGGATGTTAAAGAATGTAGGAAAAAATATGGTGATTGTGCCAAGTCAATTAATATTTTTAAAAAATATAAAAAGTAAAAAAAAATTTTTTTTACCCCTTCCACTACACAAAAATGGTCGCCAAATTTTTGTTAGATGCATTTTTGCTTCCCCTATAACATATTTTTTACCCGATAAAAAAACTATAAACGCTTAAGAGAAAATCCAATTTTTAATTTTTTTTTAAAAATGCCATAACATTTTTCAAAATTATTTTTAGAAGTTGAAACTTGGCGAAAAAAAGTTTCATACTGAGACTAATTGATCTTGTAAATATCGACGAAATTTGAGCGGGGGCCGCAGGACCCTGCTTATCCGGCTACGGCCTTTGACAAGAATTGAGTAAAAAATTTTATATAAGAAAAAGTTATTTCAAAAAATATAAAAAACGATTTTTTTCAAAAAATATAAAAAACGATTTTTTTCAAAAAATATAAAAAACGATTTTTTTCAAAAAATATAAAAAACGATTTTTTTCAAAAAATATAAAAAACGATTTTTTTCAAAAAATCAAAAAAATGATTTGAGCTATAGATTTTATTAAAATATGAACTTTATATAGGTTAATCGATTCGTTATAATGCAAGAAATAATTTTTTTACCAAACAAAATTAAATTTACAATGAAAAATTTTTTTGATAAAAAACAAGTTTTTCCAATTTTGAAAAAATTGAAAAAAAATTGTTGTGGAAAACATTGTTAATCTTAAAATCCTTGTGTCAGATTTTAGGTGTTAATGACTGCAATAAGCATATAAAATTTCAGGACAATCCGTGAAAACGTTTCTGAGATAATTTGTACACAATATTTT